GCTGGTATCCTAAACCAAACCTCTTTAGGACATCCAAGAAAACCTCTGCTGCTTCAGGTCAAACATCTCTCACCCAGGAACCAGGTTTTTTTCAAGAGCGGACAGCAGCCCGCAGGTTTCCTGAAAAGCCTTCCCTTGTACCCCCTGCCTCCCAAAATGATACTTGCCTCGGCCACCCCCATGCTTCCATTCGCCCACGGGGCCTGCCAGTGGCACCTCCTTTGGCCATCGGTCTTGGCCCATGGAAGTCCTCGGGGCCAAGGTCCCCAACTGCATCCCAAGGAAGCCCAGATTCCCCACTTGGAAGGATTTCCTTTCATCTGCCCAAAAGTTTCCGAGAAGAATCACCCTCTCTTCTCCTTCCCTTTCCCTTCCCTGAGCGGGAAAAACTGGGTTAATTGCTAACACACCTCCGTTATGGAACTTGCAGTTTGACGCATGCATTTATCTGGAAGCACCCCCACTGAAATTGTGACTGGCTTATTCCCCTGTAGCTTCTGGTCCTTTGCTTGTTTATAATCCCCCAAATGCTTGCAGTTAGCTAATTAGTTAATTAACACTGTTTATTTCTATGGAGAAAACCCCACCAAATGCTTTCATTGATACCCAACACCAAAGGCGTTCTAGCTCATGCGTGCAAAGATACTGTCTGCTCTGGGCATTTTCCAGTGTTTTTGCAAGCAAACCAACTCCCACCCTTCCTCTTCTCCAGTTTGGCTTCTCAATTAGCCAACTGGGCTTCTCTACATCCTACTACTCTTCCCATTATGATACTCTAAATCAGTGTTTCTCAAACTTGGCAACTTTAAGACATGTGGACTCCCCATGCTGGTTGGGGAATTCTGGGAGTCAAAGTCCACATGTCTTGAAGTTGCCAAGTTTGAGAAACACTGGTCTAAAGCATATAAAAAGGAAAAGATTGTGGGAATATCTGTGGATTGCAATGAACAGCGTGGTTCCCCTCCCCACCCCACCCCCCAGTTCATCCAATGCACTGTCAATGGTATTAAGCTAGATAGGAATTCCCCACCCTGGATGTACAACCCACGAATCTCACATTGCAAAGTGTCTCTAATAGAGCTGAGCCAACTCAAGAATGTCTCATTCCATGTTGGAGAACATCAGTTGAAGTCCCTTTGCACCCAGAACTTCAATGAGTGCATCTGACATTTTACTCCAACTTTTTCTGTTATTTCTTTTGTGTGCTCTCATGTAGTGGTCGTTTTATTCAGCCTTCCCCAGCCTATTCTCCCATCTCTTGGGAGTTTCAATCTGACATTTAAGGAAAAGCACCCCGTTGGAGAAGATTGTCTGAACCCCTTGAAGGAAGACTGTGATTTTTAAAAAAATAATTTCCTGGTTTTAAACTGTTTCTCAAAGAGCCCCCATTGTATTTGGACAGAGGCAGGACAAGGGTCTGGTGGTTGGAGCTATTCGCTTCAAACAGAATTGGGAGATCAGTCGTGCAAAAGTTTGTTTGCTCCTTCTTGGCATCGTAGGAGGAGAGACGTCGTGGTCTGCGGTAGCCAAAAATGAGGAGTCTGGTGGCACTCTTTGGTAGAACTGGTTATCTGGAAAAGATGCCAGGAGACTTCTCATTTTTGTCTCATTCTTGTGTCTGCTGTGAGTCGGCCTGCTGGTGCTAATAAAACACGCACAGTGAAGGATCCCTCAGTGCAATGTCTATTTCACTTTCTAATCAACTTCGATGACAGTTGCATGTGGCCAAAACAGCAAGAGGGAGAGATCCAGAGCACTTTTTAATGCACTTTTATATATATATATACATAATTGCCAGGCTGGCATCTGGAGTATGTCAGCTGTAAACGCTCTGTGTGCCAGCTAAAAAGTGTGAAGCGTCCTGTCTTGAATAGGCTATTTATTTTAGCAGCCATATTCAAGCCACGCAGATGGGAAATAGCAAAGGGTCTTGTGTCACTGCAAAAATGAACCGATTTGTTATTGCACACATTTTCATGGATCACACTCCATTTCATCAGGCATAACAACAAATCCTAATTTGTGTTTCTATGGCCTATGTAGTAAAAGAACTCTGCTTTCAGGTTTGAATGGTTTGAGCTAGATTTCACCAGGAATATTCCTTCCAGGAAAGTGCAATGTTTTTCCAGCCAGGTGCCTCACTTGGTTTTGGAGAAACAGGACAGTTTCACTCCAAAAACTGGGCAAGGACAAAATGAACAGCATCAGAAACAACCTGGATGTAAGGTAATATTAGTTTAATTTTTGCATTTAATACAATCGCTCCCCAAAGAGTGATCATTTTCACATTCAGCCGCTGTAAGAGAAAAGACAAGTCAGCTGCAGTTTTGGAGGAGGTCCTTCTAGAAAGGCTCCAGATATCCCTCCCTTAATGAATGCTGAAAAGTCTTCAAGTTAATGAGATCAACATGATTTCAGGCTTTATGGAGTCATGAAAAAGCCTTTCGTTTCAGGCATCCTACCCCCGCATTTGAAAGCTAGAAATCCTAGGGTGCCTGAGCTGAAAGCCATACCTTGAAGGAGATGGGAATTGGATTTGTACTTTGGAAGGGAAGTCATGCTCTGGAAATACATTCCCGTTGATGATTCTCACTGGAAAGACAGCAATATTGACCAGTGTTCAGGAGAGGCCAGTGGCCTTTCTCACATGATACCTTCCAGCCTAGAGGAAGAACCTGGTTTACTCATGGGCTTACCTACACTTTGCATCAGCCATTCATCCCATTAGTCCCGTGGACTGGCACCTCCATTCATATTTCCCTGAGATCATCCTCTGAACTTTCAGCTGATAGGTAGCTATAGGCAAAATAGGTAGCTATCAGAGAAAAGGATCTTTCTGGTGGAGGTGTCCCTCCATGGAACAACCAAGGAAACTCACCTGGTATCTCCATTACATTCATTTTCCATGCCAGGGGAACTTGTCCCATTCTTAAAAAGAGTCTAGTCTGAAGACTCTTTTAGTTTTGATTTCGCCCTGCTTCTGTTGTGCTGTTTTTCTAGCTAGGTTTGCTTTATTCCTTATAGGTTCTTGGGTTTGCTTTCTGTTGTATCAAATTGCTTGACTTTTCACAGTGTTTCTCCCTCATTGTACACCCGCCCAAGAACTCTGCCCTCAAAGTGGCAACATCACTCTGTCAAGCCATACAGGGAGACTGCTCTGCCCTGCACCTGTTGAACAGGGGCAGAGTAGTCGCCTTGGGGTTGCTTTCAACCCTAAAATAAGCACCATGGAGAACAGACTTTGGGGATCCACTCAAATGCCACTTCCCATCTTTACTGCTCCCAGGTCAATCCTGGTTCTTCAGGTGAGTGAGCAAGTCGCTCTCCCACAGCGTATTTCCTGGGATTAGCGACTGTGGGTGAGCAAGTGGGCAGGAACAATAACAGTGAGTCTGTTTAGGGGAAGATTGCCCCCACCCCAAACAAGCAAAACAGCTTGAAACCAGCATCCCTTATGCATCTGTACACATGGGGGTCCTGGCGATCAGTCATTCGGCCTTGACTCGTTACAACAAACACAGCTTCTCAACTCTCTTTTCAAAAAAACTTTTACAGTATTTGGTTTTTAAGGGGAACCAGTGAGCCTCAGTAGGAGGGCTGAATAAAATAATCATTTTGCTAATAAAAAATGGAACATGGCAAAAAAAAAAAAAAAACTGGGGTCATCTAGACTGTAGGACTGCAATTAGGAGCATCCACAAGAAGAAGGCTCAAAAACGTCAGGATCGCCACTGTGCTCATAAGATCCAAGCCTCGCCCTTTGTTTGCATGTATCAATGGGCAGGGCTTGGATTGTGTGGGCACAACTGCCATATTGACTTTTTTGACACATGCATGCATCCTTGACTATGCTGGTTGGAATTGATGGGAGCCAGTCAGGTGAATCAGAAACTCCCCATTCCTGACGCAGATGCTCAGAAATGCAGTATTCCATGTGCCTGGGACGTATCCAATCCATATAAAGGAAACCAAAGATGGAATCCAGAAACTCTTGGTGTTCACTTGCAGGGTGGATCTTATCCCCAGCTAAACAGCTTCCTAAAACAATGGGATTATCCACAACCAGCCTGAAGGGATCAGTCTGAAAGTTTAGCAGGTTCTCTCAACTCAGAAAGTCAGAATAGTTCCTGACAGTAGTCCAGCCTAGCCACCACATCCTAAACCATCCTTTCCTTTTCAAGATACATTTTCTGCAACCAGATTTTTTCACTTGCTTGTTTGTTTAATGAG